CCAAAATGCATTGGGTTGAGGCACTGTTATATCAGTGATATACGAATGGATGCGCCTATATATGTAGAAAGATCAGATTAGTGATGCAAAGTGCTCGAGAGAGCAATTGGGTGAATTGTGCCTTACTCTCGGCTTTTCGCACAAAGGTAAATCTGGGTGGAGTGGCTATACGTGTTAATAACTTTCTCCACGTGTCAGAAGTGGTCATGTTGCCTTAAATACAAGAGCCTAAGTCAACGCTCCTATCGCAATTTGTGTTATTAGTATTGATATGGTTCAAAGTCTTTTGCAGCAGGTTTTCGTGAATTTTGTGTGCCTGCAAATTTGACTTGGAAATTGCATAAACACGATGACGCTCGTAACTGGTTTACTAAAGGACATGGGTGTAGATTAATCAAAGCGTTGACAAGCAAACGGCCTCACCTCAACTGACGAAGTCTTGGTTACCACTAAGCAAATCAGTATCATGTGTCATGGGTATTAACAGATGAACATGAAGTTCCTCAGCTGTTGTCAAATTGTCGCCTCGCTGGGTTTTTGCCTTGTTAATCAAACTACCATGCGATTGGTTATCACCAAACTATCCAGTCATATCTTTTTCATTTGGAGTGGCTCTATGTCCTGATCCTGTGTGCGTATGGTGGGTCGTGGAAGGAATTGTAAACCATTGTTTTTTTGAGGAGGTCAAATGACAGCTCCGGCTAAGATCAATCTAACTATCCATATCTCTATTTTAAATGATACAGTGAAACTGTTACGTGTCCAGGAAGAACCACTCCTACAGGAACTAAGGAAGCTTAGATTAGTTAAAAAGTGAGAAGAAACTGCCGTTCTTATCCTACAAAACAGGACCTCATGCCTCCACACACCTCATTCCTCATACCTTATGTCTCAAGCCTCATAAAACTACGCATCTTGACATAAAGCAGTTTGCAACATAGAATCGGAGAGTATGGAACACATCCTCATCCTTATGTCGTTAAAACCTTTCCATGCTCCCTCCTTTTCTGCATACCTCTAATCATATTAGAGTCACTGCTTCGTTTATTAGTGGATTCTGCTCCTCTGTCTCATTTTCCTTCCGCGGCCCTTTATTAATCGCAAATTTCTGAATGGGCCTGTTGCTTCCTTGGTTTACTTTGATATTGCTGTAGCACACTGTGTTTCTAAGCATGTGGTCTTGATTCATGCTAGAAAGTGGGAAGTCGCATCTACTACAATTTCATACAGTCGGTTAAAGATTGCTATTTCCACATGTTTCGATTAAGAATATCTTGACCCTAGCTCCTATCACCGAAGACTTACTTACTAATGGGTGTTACCCATTAGATGCAACATAAGGCGCAACAGCAATGCTGGCAGCATACGGTATAAGGTATGTCCCATATTACTTTTGCTCTTACCCACCTATAACACATTTTAAATGTCAAAAGTATGTTAATGAGGAGGTCATATCTCATTGCTGCATAAGAGTGCTTCATTAAACAATCCTTTCACCATCTATTATTTACTAAATCTAAAATAATGCTTCACTTACATGCGTTTTCATAAGATATAAGGTAGTAACAATGATGAAAACCCTTTAACCACTTAAAGCAAGCCATTGATATCAGCATTTTGAAGGTAGATCAGCCTGTGAATAGCTAATGGCTCTTCTGAACACTTGCAATTCCCCCAAATGCTTTGATGGATCCGTGAAGGTGACACCTACGTTCTCCAGAACCCAGTCCTCAACGCCAGCTCATCTCTTATTGTACAGTTTTGTGTATCATCTCCTGTAAAAAAATTATGTTTAGAGGAATCAAGCAGTACCTATCAAAGGGAATTCCTAAAATGGAATAACTTTTGGATGGGGGAAATCCTTTAAGTGCACTTAGAGGCAGCTAATGATTTTTGAATGAATGCTTAAGGTAGAAAAGTAGTTAGCCCTGTTTAGTCGATTTGATAGAGCTCTTTGGGACGCTGTTAGAAGCTAACAGACCCGATTTGACCCGACCCAACTTCGTCCACTCGGGAAATTTTTCATAAACTGAACCACAAATGTTTGAGCACTTGTGTGGGTGGGCACAGACACTACACTAGTAGTATAGGGCACACTTCTTAGGTCATCAACTAATACTTTGCGGTCCCATAGACTGGAAGACCTTAAAAGATAAGTAGAGATATCAGAGCTGAGGCCTCTATCTCCATCGCCGTCTTCATTCCTACTGCATCAACGTAGGGTACGGTACACGGTGTAGGAATTATGGCGTAGGGAGTACACCGAGATCTCTCTTACATTTTTCGCGTATCTCTCTCCCGCATTTGCTTCTTCTAAAAAGCCCACAATCGCGATCTTGAACACAAAAAGCACATCCCAACACCAAAAAGTGTAGCCTGATTGTAAAATAGGGAAAGCTAACGACGTGAGTGTGGACTGCGAACAGCAAATAATAAATAACAAATAAAAAATTGAGCTAGCGAGCGTATGGGACTAACTAAGGTGCATGGAATATTAAAAGGAGTTTGCAGTTTGGAGTCGGATTGGAGGTGCTAGAACATAAAAATGTGGACGTATTCCTGGAGTTGCAGGTATCTACATGTGAGTGCATTTACTTAAGTTGAAGGGACAACTACACGGTTTCCGATTTTAGCACGGATTTGCAAGTTTTGTATAATGTCAGAGAGACAGGCAAGAGACATTTAGACACCGCCTGCGTTGGCAAATCAATCACTCTACTGTTTCATTGCAATTCGACAGCATTAAAAAAACCAACCAAATAACACGTATCAACAACTTCTCCGTGTACTCACCTTGATGCGTACGTCGGCCCTAACATGCATGTAACAAGGGCAAGGCTAACTGGAGGAGGGTCCACCAAATTTAAACATCAACATGTGATGGTATTTAAATCCTGCCAGTTAAAAATTTGACATAGCACGTGTAGGTGGAATGGCTTCATGTTTCAAATGCTTTAAGCAGCAGTTAGACCTCTGATATTCTCTTTACTCTGTGGCATTTTATTCATTCCAATGGGAATCATTCATTGAAATTCAAATCAAATCGAATGCCACTACTGAGCTGAATTCGCCCAATCTCGTCAGAACTTGGGGATTTGTGATACGCTTTCCTACAGGCTTTTCCTGGAGCTTATAATAATTTTGCTTAATTTGTGGCCCTTTGGTTAGGAAGAATTCCATTATTCACTCACTTCACTACAATGGTTACTTTGGCTTCCATGTATTCCAAGGAGGCAAAATTACTGATTGCGCTGTTGGCAGTTGATTCAATTTCAGGGAAAACGACCACACACACTCACCTGACTATGCTGTTGTAAAAAAACACACATTCGTTAATGGTCCATCGTAGTCATTATTAGATTTTTCGACTGGTTAGAGTGGTGGATCACCTCAACAGTCACCACTTTGAATGGACATCGATTCTACAAAAGAGAAGAAATTGCTTTTTAGGCTTTAAGGAAAGCCTAAGCTTTAGCAATACCCCATTAAGCCAAAAAGAATGAAATTCTATGCATGTTACTTGGATGAAAAAACCTCTTTGTGGGAAACGCGCAGCTCTGCTTTTAGGCGCGCAAAATATTCAAGGTAGTAATATCTGCATTCGACTACATTTACAAACATCTGCCTTCAGCATAGTCACAGCGCTTTGGATACCCACAGCTCGAGAAGGAGGTTCTCACTGAACTTTCGGAATTTCACTTGCGAGGCTACTTTTCTAAACATTCAAGTCACCGTTTCTCTCTCTGTCCCTCCTCGTAGACTGACTGACTAACTGGCTGAGATAAAGTTTGGGTATACTTGAATGGGTCAAAATCCCCATTGGGTTCAAGGTAGAAATCAAGATCGATTGCTAAAGCAATATCACATACGATAAAGGCGATCCACGGAGTCAAGATGAACCCTCGCCATTTTATACTAGCCACTATTGACTACCAACTAGTCGTTCACTAGCCGCAGAAACCCCAGGTCACAACAAATGGGGACACAGATAGGCAGGTTATAATACTCTACTTGTACGAACTGTCCTAACAGACTTTGTTTAGTGCCTTCAAATAAATCCAGATCCACCCATCCATCTAACCACCCATCAACACACTTAAGCAATTTGTGGAGTTATTGTACTTTTGCTACTGCTTCTCAATCCTCGGCAATTAACCACGGCTTGAATGAACACAGAAGACTAAAACTGGATGAACGGATTTGCAGCTGGCTCAAATAGTGACTCAAAGTTAGCTACTTCTGAGCTACACTCACCATAATACACGGAAAAAGAACACAAACCACATGGGTGATCTAGTGTCACACAACTGGATTTATCTTTCATACCAAACTAACTGCATTTTAAACAATAATGGTGAAATATTCCCAAAGAAATACTCAGGATCAGTGCACTGAACAATGACTTCACTGTAGAGTTCTTGTTTTGTTTACGGTAATTTAATGCTAGCCAAAGGGAATAGGTGAGGTGAGGATTACTTTCAGCCATGTGTTTAAAAAGGGTTGTTGAAACAGATTTTGAAATAGTTGGGCCTGCGTGTTCATTCAACCTCGAATTAACAAACCTCGGTTCAACACAGATCAGGTCAATTCAACTCATCTCGCCTTGGATTAGCTAAAATCAGCTAAGCTAGGCTCAGTTTGGTTTTGCATTGTGGGGTCTGTCTACTGCCTTTTATCCTTCGCCGAACAAACCGTAACGATATCGTGGGCAGTGTTTTCACACCTTCTAAAAGGCTTTCGCCTACATCATGCTAAAAATGAAAGCTTTGAAAATGCCTTGTGGACTGCTCTTAAGAATAGACTAGACTTGACAAGACTAAACTCCAAGTCGTAAATTAGGTTTAGCAAACTGGTAAAAGATGTGGGGTTTTTGGGTGGAATTAATAATACTTTAGACGATTTTTAAGGCTGCGATGAATTTACCCATTTGACAGAAAATTATGATTTCCGTATGTTTCAATGCGGTGTAATACGACAGCTGCTCCCATCACCGAAGGTTTACTTGTCAACAGATTTTAGCCCTTCGATAATAACATGAAGTTCAGTAACAAAGTTGGCAGGTTCCCCTTAATTTTAGATGATCCCTTTCCGTTGTCGTTTAAGTTTACCGATTTCGCAATACGGTGCACAAATGTCATGTATGTAAATAAGGAGGTCAGATGTCACAATCACTTACAAGGCGGTTCTATTGAACATTCCATTCACCGATCATTATTCACTACCTTTATAACGACACTTACGTACTGATTCCTCATACCCAAGAGTACTTATAGCGATGACAATGCTTTGTTCATCTGAAACTCTTTCTCAATGCCTACATCTTCAAGGTGGCTCTTGCCGTGAACAGCCAATGGCTGTTCTGGACACTCACACTTCCTCAAAATGCGTGGATGGATCCATGAAGACGACGTCTACGTTTAGCACAACGCAGTACTTAAATCCAACTCATATTTTAGAAGACAATCATTTGCAATTGTGGGTGCAATGAAACTTTAAATAGGATAAATAGAGTATCGTTTATCAGTTATGATTTTCAGAGAGGAATTGCAATTAAGTAAAGGAAATTTCTTGGAAAGGAAGTCAATTTCGATTAAGGCAACAAGTTTTACTATGTCGAATGTCATAGATGGAAAAGTAAATATCTGTGCTGGGTTAATTTGATTAAAATATTTGGTACACTGTAAGGCATAACTTGACTCAACCTGTCTAACTCCAGAAATCTGCCATGAACTGAACTACTAGTGTTTGAGCCTGTGTACTGGTGAGCACAGATGCACTACACTGGTAGTAGTATAGTGTAGGGTACTCCGCCCCTGATGTTAATCAAATAGTTGCCACCTTCTCCATTAGAAGACCTTAGAAGATGAGAATAAACATCAGAGTGGAGGTTTCTCTAATTCCAATGCCTCAGCTGGGGGCATGAAGTAAGGCGTACAGAGTCCACCAAGAACTCTCTCTCTCAACTTTAGAGCAGCTATTTTCTCTATCTCTATATTCACAAACGACCGCAACCACGTCGCTAAGCATACAAAGTACATCACCCCGCAACAAAGTACTGGCCGACCGTAAAATCGGAAGAAAGCCAACCACTAGAGAGGGAATGGCTAGCCGCAAGCCGCAAATAACGAATGACGAATATTCCAGACTAAGGCGCTAACGTTTATCTGGTTCTGTATTCATCCACGGAAGAGTGCATTTGCTAAAATCGACAGGAACGCAACAACATAATACAAAGTATTCATAATCCTCAATGCCTCCTTTCAAGAAATACTTATGGATTATTAATCTAAAAGGTAGCTTAAATGTCGCCTGTAAATTCATTCCTACAATGTTTTGAGAAACGTTCATTCTGGTCATACATGTTTATGCGTTGCAATTAATTCCCTTTGTATAAATACGTGGTAAATACATTACTTATTTTCAACAAGTTTAATTCTTGCTAGTTAACGAAGATTCCTTCACAAAGAAGAGATTTCAATGCTTTTGAAAGAACTGAAACAAATGCAAAGGCGTCGTTAAAGGTCAGCTTAGGCAAGGAAACCTAGACAGTGAAATTCGGTGTAAGCAGAACTGGCTTAGAACGTGATTCCAGGCCCCCTTTTTTACCCAACACTAAAACCATCCCGAATTTTGAGGAAGGCACCTGCCCTACCTACCGAAACATTAAAATTACGAATGCTCTTTCACCACAGACGGAAGACGTCGACAATTTTTGCAATGCCTCAATAGAAGCTGCAAGAAAAATCTAGATGATTTCTGCTCCCAGTTTATAATGGCACCGAAAAGAGAGGAAAGAATTTCGGGAGCCATTAATTAGTTTGGTGAAAAACAAATACCATAAAATATACTATAAAAATCGGCGAAGCCAGACTTATCTGGCAGCTACCTGGACGTATACTATCCCCTCCGCTGGAGGCAGTAAACCGTCTGGTCAAGGAACTAATCAGAGAGGAGGTCATAAAGCCATCAAGGTGGCTGTGGGCCTCACGGATTGTTCTGATAAAGAAAAAAGCTAGAAGTACGCAAACGAGTGTCACCTACCAGAGGCTGATAGCGGCAGCGAAGAAGGATGCTTTCCAGCCACACAAGCAAATGATTCTTTTGACTCCATTCATAGATCAAAGTGGTCAACCATCAAAATGTAGGCAAGTGGAAGTGACTGAGGGAAAACAGCTTTCATGCTTCTAAAATGGGTTTTATAGAATCCAGACAAAGTACACACAATCGAACGCAGAGTTAAACAAACTTTCTAAGCATTACAATTTAATAAAACATTTTCTGTCTAATAAACGCTGATGCCATTGCTGCAAAGCGGAATAATAATTTTTTTTACATCTTTGTGGCACGGTAAAAGCTACAAGGAATGCGTATCATCATTTCGTATTCATACTTGAAATATGAGCTTATGCATTTCCGATCACAGTTGCTGGAGCCACCATAAGGCGAAAATTTGGAGGTTTTTACATTTTCGGGTATCCAATTTGCTGTATGATTAAATGTGGGATGCATGCGGGATTGTGATACACTAAACAGCATGTGGAAATGCACTCCTCCCATTTAAAAAGCAGTCCAGGAAGTAGATTGAAATCCCAATACCTTAAGTAGAACGGACAGTGGGAAAGTCAATGCGGAATTGCAATGATCGTTCCAATCTTGAATTCTCCAGTTGCAGGCAGCCACTAATAGTTCCCAAACTAATAATTTCAATGAGGATGAAGCGTAATAAACGGACACACTTACGTCATTTGACTTATGTCGACTAAAAGCAGATCTGAAGAAATTCGGATGAAAATTATGTCTGGCTGATGTTTCACTACATTCGTCATCCTTTGTAACGACGAAGCGATTGGGTTGTTTGGACTGCCACGCAATAGCCACGTCTTAATTTTCAAGACCACCACTTCAGTTGCTGTTGTGGTCAGGCATCTGTAACAAGTTAATGTATTACGTGGATGTACTATAAGGCCGAACATACAAACTCATACAAATACATCTCCTCATTCCTCCATGCCTAGATACACTTACATAGGGCAGGGGAAGGAAGGAGGAGCATGATATGCGTTGCACAACATCTCAGCCCTTCTAACATCATTTCAATTCACTGCCCAACATAATATCACATGCAATTAGAGTGTCCGAAACCAACGTGGATTTCATTGATTCTATCCACAACTCCAAGTGTCTTTTGCTAGTTTGCTGGGCCCACTTAGGACCTAAAGTCTCGTTTACCCTAGTCATAAGGGTAGTTTGCAAACTCCAATGGTATCTATGGAGCTTACATTTCTCGTATCTTGTCTTCGTTTTTTTCACAGATGGTGTAAAAACATTAATCGTGATATTTTTACAGTTTGATCAGGAGAAGCAAAAAGGCGAAAGGAAGTAGACAATAGGCAAAATTGAACTGAGCCTACCCAATTTGATCCGAGAAGAGCCGAATAGAGCTGGATTGAGCTGAGTTGAGCTAACCTGAGATGAGTCCAGTTGTGCTAATTCTAGGTGGAATGAACGCGCAGGCTCTGCTGTTTCAGTAGCTCCATTTATGTGCATGACTGGAAGTGAAGGAAAAGTAGACTTCTACGCGAAAAAGGACTTTGCCCTATTTATTAATACAAGGTAATCCTTTGGAGATATTTGCCGCTGAAGCTTGGAAGTGCAGTCAGTTTGGGATGAAGAAAAAATTTCATTCTGTTAGTCTGTCGATCACCCACTTATGCTCCATTATTTTCCGTGTATTTTTGTGTGCATAACTTGAAAGTGTCGAAAATAGATGCACTCCATGAAACTCTTTAAAAATTTCGCATTTGGTTAACTTGTAATTGAAAGACAAGGATTTAGATGTAGCAATAATAGTAGAACTACTGCAACCACAAATACAACATGTGGTGATATGTATTTCTCGTGACGGTCTTGCGTTGTAAAATAAGAACAGCACTTTTCCCTATTGGCAAAGTAGTTCACTCCTCCTCCGTTTCTGTGGCCAAAGTTTTTCTTATGCACGTTCTGATCCCACCATATAATATCGAGTAGATGGATAAATATATGGGTAAATAAATCTCAATCAAAGCTGTTGTTTGGTCTCCAGTGGGAAATCCTTAATGAGAAATTTTGCCTGCAGTGCTCCACGGGCACTGTTTGTGCAATGGGAAGGGACAATTCTCTAATAAGAGTTATCAATCAGTTAGTATGCAGCCAACTTGGTTACTGAGTTTTATACTACTTCAATAGGATAATACCTATTATAAGTAAGTTTTAGATAATGGGAACTGCTGTCATATTATGCCGAAGCAAAACCCGTAGGAACCGGAATTGTTAATCGAATGAGTGTATCATAGTAGCTGTGGATATTCCTCACCTGTTCACAATCATACAGTACGCAAATAAAGTGTTCATGCGGTATCAAAGAAGTAGCCCGCAGACTTCTTAAAGCCACTTTTTATAGGACGAAGTAGATTGAATTGTGTGTTAGGTGCAGGAATCATGTAGGAGAGAGGTGAGAATCTACAAAATGTTGTCGCAAACTGTTTTAGTATGGGCATTTTCTTATTGAAAATGGGCGATAGTCTCTCTTAAAAAGGTATCATCGTAGGGATACGGTAAATAAGGGTGATTAGCAGGCAGTGCTTTTCAATCTCCCTGCCTAAAGTTCAAAACTCATTACAGTTTCGTGGAGGTACGAGGCATGATGTCGTGCAGTTTAAAGCAAGGGTAGCACTTTCTTCTTACTAATTCACTAGCTCAAGCGTTTTGCGTGGGCACAAGTGACGGCATACAAAATGGAGGGGTACACGCATGCATGTACGCCTGAGGCGGCGTGTAATTTCCAGCATCCCCCAAGCCGTGCTCCCATATGCTAGTCTACGCGCAGGTACCAGCAAATATGGAAAAGATGTATCATGTTTCCGACAAGGGTTGTTAATTTGAACCTTTCGAGAACCCACAAAACCTATCAAGCACAAAATCTACCCTCCCGAGTACCGACGGATCATTTTAAGGTCCGTAAAAATCTCCTACCTCTCAATTTGAGAGCTTAAGACAAATCTAAAAAACGATACGTACGAAGATGAATATATCTTAAAACATACGCAAACACATGGAGGTACATCTTAGGATATACTGCATCCTTCTTGGGTGACCGTCTTTTAAAAAAACTTCATATTTTGAACTTTGCTTTAAAAATCGGTTCTTGACATTTTATTCTCATAATCACTCATTCTATGGCACTCCAGCTCTTCTAGAGTTAGAGCTTGGGTCATTCAGTGCACTAAAACCATTGTATAAGCCTATGTTTTGGCCATTTGAGCAGGTTTTCTGTAATTTTAGAGTTTAAAAGTGATTGAAAGTAGTTTTTGGAGGGATGAAAAATGCTAGATTTACTTAACTAGCGGTAATTTGCAAGAGGATCGACAGACTTACGGGTATCGTGAAATAAACACCCCTACACAGAGAAGCACATTAAAAGACGTATGTGCATTTGACTTGCGTGACTCCTCTCTCGATTTCAACAATATAGAAACTTGGTCAGTATTGCGAGACTTATTGTCATCTGTCCCATGGTAATGCTCGAAGTAAGGTACTTTATTCCTTTCACATTCCAATAGCGCAGTGCTAAGTAACAATCACTGTAATGTGCGACACTGAAAATGGATGAATTATTTAACTTAGGCAGCAAAAACTAAATCAAATGGAATTTTAGCTTTTAAAATTGATTTTAGAACATTCAGTCTAATTTAGGTCGGCAGTCACAACGACACCTGGCATTGCCGGGATGGGACGGAACTGATTTCAGAGGAATATGATAAAGAAGAAGTTTAAATATTAATGTGGCTTTCAGATCACGAAAACAGTACTACATTGCTAAAGACAAACTAGAAGACGCTTCTCTTCTCGTTTATAGCCCTCCTGTCCAATCTCTAGTCAAATGGTGGTTGGATTAAATGTAAAATGAAAGTCAAATGCTGCCAAGAGGACATTGAATTGCCCTGTGTATAGTCATTCACGCGAGATAGTTCTATGCTTCCTACAACTTCTGTTGGTCAAAACAAATGCTTATCCATGTTTTGCCCGTGTAGTCAACCCATAGCCCCAGGAATACGTTAAAAGCATTGAAAGGAAACAAAGCCTTGCCATTAAATAGTTTAATCTTGTTCATATTTTTGACTAGCTTAAGTTGAGTACTTACTGTTATTAGGTTTTCTTAGTGCAAATTTGATTTTTTGTAACCCACATATAACTTCAGGCTCACCGGATGACTGCACAAGAGTTGGTTTACGCATTTGGTACGTGCTGTGATTGCAACAAATGATGGCGAAGCGAAGACGTTGTCATGAGTCAGGCCGCAGAATGAAGCGCTTGATGCCTGGGTGGAACACAATGCCTACCGAGAGGGTCGGACTTTTCACATTCGCTCACAAACACGCTACAAGAATACCTGACGAATGGGAGCGGCGTCTTCACAAGCAGTCAGTCGGAACTCTGGACATACTTTTCTGTTTTCGTTCTTTTCGTGCACATCAGAGCAGGCCTTACAACAACGATGGCTACCGTATCATTGTAAATCAGAGTGAAGGCATTACTGGAGATTTGGATTGCTATCTTCGTGTTACTTTTCAGCCTTCAAAGCTGTGCTACCTTAACCAAGACACACTTTTAGTGCTACTAGTAATTCACCTTGGTGCTTGTCTTTTTTCGCGTCCCAGGTTTCGTTGGCCCAGTATTGATAAGTACACCTAAACGAGTGGTGGTGTCTGAACCAAATAACAAATGAATGGTTTTATTTCTGCATTATATTTCATGAAGTGGTAGTAAATCCTAATCAAATAAACGAATTTTTCCACTGCAGTGCCCCAAATTGCCGATGTATCATCAAATGCTACTAGCTTTACTTCAGCAGGAACAGCTAATATTCTTGTTTTTGCCTGAAGAACTACACAGATTTCCAGATACGACACTAATTGCAAACATTGGTAAGAGACTGAGGCTCTACTGTGGGATCTCTATGAACGACGCTATCGTCATCAGATGGTATTTCACCAGCACTATTATCCATGAGGATTCCCCTGCCAACCGAACCGGAGGCCTTTAGCCCATCGACCTCAGCCGCGTCAGCGTCATGTCCATCGACGGTATTGAGAGAAATCATGAGGGTCTTTAGGGTTTAGAGGAAAATCGTGAATGCAATTGTGGTCTGTAAGTAATTGTTTCACATTAATAGGTGAAATCGACTCAACGAATCTGTTTGATTATGGCAAGTATGTCTCGGTTAGGCATAGTAAAAATCACTTCTTTGGGGAACTAATGGTTGGATACTTAGAATAAAGTGAGAGGGTAAATTTATTATGAACTGTATGAATATTTTCCACGAGGCCGAATACGGTCTAAAGGTGACACCACCGCCGTGCATGCTGAATGAGGAGCAGGAATTCCAAATCCACTGCAGGGCTTAGGGCACTCATGAGGTTGGCAGTACGGACTTAGATTGATTCTTCCTGCCTGTAGGATCTAGTGCCCTGCAGCCTATCGACTTTGGACCTGACAGTTTTGTGTGAACTAGTGACCCACGCCTTAGGCACACCATTGTCATCACCAAGACCTACGTCACGGCCCAGTATGAAGGTGAGTATGTCTGTCGCAAACCATGTGGGCAGGCTGATCCCAATAACCTCCAAATTCAAAGGTTCGCCTATTTCTCTCTCTCCTTCACTGATTACCTAGTAAATGCGTTTTTACTACTCCTCCTATTGTCTCTCACAGCAGTAAAACTATGTCGGGCATTCATCCGACATTTGAAGTTTAGTTAAAATTAGGGCAGTAATAAACGAAGAAGCGATTTCAAAAGTCAAACTGCCAAATAATGAACCGGGTTACAAAATTAAGTTCATCAGGTAGCTTCAGTGAAAATTGCATCGATTAATTTTGTGCACTTCGGCGTGAAAACTTAAATCCTTTCACTTAAATTTGTTTTTTAAGTATCAGGTCTGAAATTTTGGTTCTACATTTTAAACTTGAGTAGTACTTCTAAGTCTGGAAAGATGTTCACCCTGATGACTGTAGTAGTTTTGAGGTTTTTAACACAGACCCTAGTGTAACTCCTCTCTAGTTAGTTCGACCGAATACATTTGGCGCATAAGTTAGGAATACATTTGGGTTTGAGTATACTTCCCCTATGATCCACCCATATTTTTCCCTTTTATAGGTAATGGATTCGTAAATCGGTTTTCATCACCGAAAAGTATGCACTCAGTTCTGGGTAAAGGATTTTCTATTTCGGATACCCGATCCAACACCTCAAAGAAATTGTTCTTCTGTAATCCGGCCAATACACATCACACCAGGTGTCATTAAGGTTCGACTCGGGCGGAACGTAAACCTCTTGCTACTCCATACAAATGGACCATTGAACCTGTGGACATAGTCCAAATTTGCGGGCCTTCGGTGCCCGTCTACCAATCCGCATCACCGATGCTACTGATGGCGCTGTCAGCGTCAATGTCACTCGCATCGATCATTCTTTTACGGGACTGTCATTGAGTGCCACTCCGATGTAAGTTCATCAGAGCCTTTAACAGGGCAAATATGAATTTGTAGACATTTTAAAAAAGATTAATTAATGATACAGAACAGAGAATTTGTCACAATTTAGCTAAGTTGTTTTTACAAAAGGTGGTGTTGGTGCTATCGGAACCGATTTTTAGAATCATTCTTTAGCTGTCTTCATTCCGAAGGAAAAAAAGAAATAAACAACGCAATTTATTAGTCTAATTTCACAAGCAATACATATTGCTGTGATCCCAGGGATTCTAATATTGCCTAAGTTATAAGCTGCTCCACTTTTTAAAATTTAATCACAGTCGTCACATTCACACTATACATTTCCACTTCGTTAAATAAGATGCCCAATGTAGAACAAGTAAGAGGGACTACTTAAGTTGAAGGCGTCTATCCGCCCTGCAATCGCTGTTGTCGGAATGGAAATTGCTTCAAGGCCAGGCACTTCTGCGATGAAAATCGTTACTGTGCTGACAGAAGCGATGAAGATCAGTATCTTTGCTTTAAGTCTTGCCACCCCTTTTACAACTTTTTACCATTCAGGGTGCCACCCGCCTTGATGACGTCTGGTATTCCACAATTAACTTGATGCATTTCTGATTGCAGCTGTTTTTGATACAGTTGTGAAGAAAAGAGAGACGTGTCGTGGCCAATCAACCCATAAGTAACGGTGCGGTGATCAAAATGACTATGGTAACGGCTATGATTGAGCCAATTGTCAGGATAGGCCTGCCACTCCTTCGAACCCTCGCAGGCATACCTTGTGTCTGGTAAACTGACTCAACCACTCTTTATACTGCAGACACAGTAATCAAGTTTCCGCGTAAAGCAACAGTACACTGCCCTCCTCTGGTCTCCGAATTCCTCACACCTTCATATGTGACTCCTGTCCTTGTAACCACAATGAGGATGAAGAGCAGTGTAGTAGGTTTTGACACTTGCAAGGTAGATAATGTGGATTTTTGCTAAAAAATATTCAATTGCTCTCTTGGCGGACATTCAAAGGAGAGCCACAAATTCTCACTGTACCAAGAGACCAGTCCATTCACCGTCGCGTTGATACAGTGACCTTGACCTGCAAAGTCGCTGGTCGTCCTAGCCGGCGCATCAGTTGGCTTTTCAAAAGGGGTTGCCTGCCTGACGATGGCAGTCGAATGAATGCGCATGACGTCGCTGAGACTTGCGGAACAGCAGACGAAAATACCGTCTCCACGTTGACCATCAACAACTTCTTATCGGATGATGACGGCATCTACAACTACGCTGTCATTCGTACTGATTAAGATATTTTTCACCTGCACAACGCAATTAGTTGGAAGCCATTTAATGATCCCTTTACCTGTGCGTATCTATCAGGCTAGTAGGTGAGGAGATGCGTAGATTTAAGGTCACATCGTGAAAGCCACCTATAGGTGATGATCGACTATTCTTACAAGTGTAGAACGATACTGATTCGGGCAACTATTACGGTACATTAGGCAAAAAATTTGTCAACCTTTTTTTTTCAGACGTTTCCTCTTACATGGCGACTTCCTCTCGCCCCATTACCACCTCCGATAAAATTAATGTGCAAGTTGACAACTTAATGTATTTTTATCAAAGACAGACCACATTTTAAGGCCCTAGATATATTTTCGTTTGTTTTGTTAGGGATATTAGGCTTTAAGTTTTGCTCAAGTGTAAGCACAAGTACGCCGACATCACTGTGAATCAAAGAAGCTTCACCTATTTCGCGGTCCCTCATGATATTTAATCAAGGAAGAGAATGGCCAAGTGCGTAGTAGTGTCGATCCCCTTAAGAGATTAATGAGCACACCGTAGATGGGTAAGGAAAAGCTACAAAATTAAGAAAAAGGGCAGTCAAGGAGAAATAAAAAGCCGTCTCGAAAAATCAAAGAAAATCGCAGGGTAAAAAGAGAAAAATGTAAGAAAGATTGAAAAGAATTTGAAAAAGGGACAGAGCCAAAAGGAAATGAAAAAGAAATAGAAATGAAAAAAAGAACTAAAGCGAAAAAAAAGGAAAGAAAAGTCAAAAAATACGAAGATAGGAAAAGCAGAGAAAAAGGGAAAAAAAGGCAAAAAAAGAGAAGTAAAAAAGTAAGAAAGAAAAAAAGAAAACAACCAAAAAAAGGAAGAAAAAATACACGAAGAATAAAAAAGAAGGATAGGACAAAAAAAGGAAAAAGAAAAATAACAAAGAAAGAA